GTTTCGGACGGGGTCTTCATCATGAACGCGTGAGAGAAATCATGCAGCTCTCCGCGTTTAGGACGTAAATTTTAGGTTGCTCGGGATTTGGGATTTTTGACCTGGCTTGGGCCACTCGGCCGTCGCGTCGTAAACGCGTGACGTGGGCTTTTGCCGAGAACACCCGAAGCAGAGCGCACACGGACAGAGGTAGAAAACGCTTGTGTTGGTGAGTCGCCGAGTAGGACGTAGTGGGGGCAGAGCTCACACGGACAGGCTACATATGCTTGTGTAAAATACCCACGGGAGGCATGGAGAGGGTAAGCGCTCGCGCGGTTTACCCACGATTCTGGCATCACTGGGTGAGTCCCACACTACCCCCGCCCACTCCTCCCACATTAGGGGATGGCGGGGGTGTGCGTAAATGCATCCCCTCACGTAAAAAAAAAAAAAAAAAGGTAGTCGGTGGAAACACCCGAACGGCCAGCTCACACTGTAGACGCAAAATATGCTTGTGTAGCAGAAACTGTGGAATAAAGTGGGGGACGCCGGGACACCGTGGTGGTGGAATCAAGTTCCACGATTCTGGCATCACTGCTCTCATCTCTCATTTCCTCTCTAATGGTATGAAGCCTCACTAGCGCCACAAACCTAACGAACCTAACTTAAACTTAAACGAACTAACCTGAACTAACCTTATCTCACTTAAAATTATCAGATTTGACAACACATGGTCAATCAAAATACAGTTGGAATATGAAAGTGCGTTATATTTGAATTGCATGATATTTATTTAATAATAATCAATTGAAAATGAGATATGCACAACTTGTAATGGGACCAGCTGGTAGTGGAAAGGTATTTATTTCTTTTTCTAGCAAAATAAATAATTCAAGAATGTAAATAGAAGTCGAAATGAAAATTTTTAATTTAATTGATAATATTGTCTACTAAAAACATCAGAGACGTAACTTAAGAACATTTTACAAATAATTTGTTTTTAATTCTCTTGTGACAGAGTACGTATTGTTCTGCCATGCAACAACATGCAGCTAGTGAAAGAAATGTGATTGACATAGTAAATTTAGATCCTGCAGCAGAATATTTTGATTATGAACCTTTAGTCGATATAAGAGAGTTAATTCAGTTAGATGATGCAATGGAAGATGATGAATTACAATTTGGACCTAATGGTGGTCTCGTATTTTGTGTGGAGTAAGTTTATGAAATAACATTTGCAATGCACACTTATTATGAAATTTACATTGATTTCAAAATTCATAGGTACTTATTAGAAAATTCATCATGGCTAGAAGAAAAGTTAGGGGATGTGGACGATGATTACATTATTTTTGATTGTCCAGGCCAAATAGAGTTGTATACACACATGACAGTTATCCGTCAATTAATAACAATCTTACACAATCTCAATTTTCGTATATGTGGAATCTTTTTAGTAGATAGTCAATTTATGGTTGATGGATCAAAATTTCTATCTGGTACAATGGCTGCTCTTAGTGTAATGATTAATTTGGAACTACCACACATTAATATTCTTAGTAAAATGGACTTACTGTCGAAAAGTGCAAAGAAGCAATTAGATAAGTATTTAGAACCTGATCCTCACAGTTTATTAGCAGATATGGAAAAAGATTCTTGGAATGAAAAATATAGGAATCTCACAGAGGCTGTAGGAAGGCTTATAGAAGATTACAGTCTTGTGCGTTTTTATCCATTAAATATAAAAGATGAAGAAAGCATAGCAGACATTAAATTAACTATTGATAATATTATTCAGTATGGAGAAGATGTTGATGTTAAAATTAGAGATTTTGATGACCCTGCTGAGGATGATGATAGAGATACAAATTATGAAGCTAATATGTAACATTATTTCATTTAATAAATTATTTTTATGGAACCTCTTGTAATTCAATTCTTGATATTGGTAGGAGACAAAATAGAATGGAATTAAAAAAATTTGTTTCATTAATTTAATTATTGTTAGCTTATGAAAATATCTGTACATGGAAATGATAGAATATTTACAGTGCAAGATTTCACCGTTCCAAATGTGCATTTACCGTATTAAATACGAACAATAGACATCCAAAAGCTAATGTTGACCCATGAGCAACAATAGCACTTCCTTCCCAGCCCTCTTCTAAATGATCTGTAATCCTTGATTCATACTTTGTCAAGTTACATTTACACAATACTCTTTTCTTTTCTATTTGTTCTTGAGAAAGTAAAACTTTTTCTTTTATGATAGCTTTTATAGCTTCTGTTGTTTTCTGCTCTTTAGTCGTTATTTGTATTTTCTCATCAACTTCTTCTTTTACTTCATCTTTTCCTATGTCTGTATAGTTACAAGAATAAAGTACATTATCAACCATAGTTCCATATTCACTGTAGTTTAATAGTTCATAACGTTTTGTACTCTGCAAATAAAAATACGCAAATGATTACAATTGGATTATATTCTTGAAAAATTGCCAAAAATATAATTTGTGCATAAAACATATTGATAACTTTTAGAAATTATTACCTCATCGAAGAAAATAATTGCATGCTTTGAAGATGTAAAGCTGCAATTACCATAATTAGATAGAACTAAATCACAGTTTGGGCCACTTCCTATAGTTAATGTTTTATGAACCATAAAAGCTGGTGGTTTAAGTTTATGATTTAAGGAAAACAGTGCAGCTCTAGCCATCATATGACAATTGAGCGAATGATAATTTTCTCCATCTGAATCTAGAATTTGTTCTAATCGTTGGAATGCTAATACTTCCAATACTGGTCTTTCAAGTAACTGTACACCTTCTTTTATATCATAACCAAAATGTTCTGTATAATATCCAACATTATTATCATCTTTACAATTACCATCATTTATGTTTTCTTGTTCTACTTTTTCTTTACAATTAGTTTTATTACTTATATACTCTTTATTCTTTTCCTCTTTGATTTCATTATTCTCTTCAATCTCTTTTTCTATTTCCATTTGTTCTTCGGGTTTCTTTATTTCTGTGCATTCTACTTTAAGAGTTTTACAATCATTTCTTTCTGTACCTTGCTCTTTTGCGCTTTTGGCTACTGGTCGTATGGCAGCATCATGATAGAAACGTATAGGATCCAATTCTGGTGGATGCTCGTAATGAAATTTCACAGAACAAGGAACTTTTACTCTTGTTCGACCTTCTAATCTAACCTTTGTACGAAAAAGTGGATTTGTTGCACGCGCTTTACGCAAAAAATCTAATTTTACTGCATGTTGATCTATACGTTGATTAGCATATTTATCCCAAAGTTTAATACGCTCTGTTACCCTACATGACGTCAATAAATTTTGATCTATGAAATGATTTGGATGATTAGGACACATCCATCTACCAATAGGAAAAGCAGTAAGTGGAGGATCCAAACAATCTTGATGAAAATACAATGGACAGTAATCACATGCAATTAATGGTGCTTTTCTGCAACTACGTCCGCATTCAAAACACAAACGTGCTGGTAAAGGTACCATTAAATTACTATCTAAACAATGATTTTTCCCTGCTAACAGAAAAAATTATTATTATAGTTGAAATTAAATAATCGTTAAACAAAATTTTTTATAAAAAATAAGCAGTACATACCATTATTATTTCCAGTTTGTTGTTTTCCTCTTCTGCCTGATACATAATCCATTTTATTACTACCAGGAAACATTATTGGTAATTGCAATTCTTTAGGCAATTCAAACTCTCTAGGATTAACAAGAGATGCTGCTAAAGCTAGTACCTCCAGAGCAGATTTTTTTTTATTCTTTTCATTTCCTTTACTATCCAAAAGGTTTTTTTTTGAAGCACATCGACATGCATAACATAACCACTCTCCATTAGGAATATCTGCTGGATCCACTGCTGGATAACTGTAAATAATTATGTTTCCTTATTGTATTTAATCATATATTGTTATTAATATAAAAATATAGTGAAAATTCAACATGTAAAAATGACGTACTTTTGGCTACGTGTAAACAAATTCTCATAAGTATAAGGTAAATTGAAAATCTTACTGAAAAATTTATGCACATTTTGCACCTCAGAACTAGAAAAGTTCCTTATAAAAATAGGTCCACATACCTTTTGATTTTGAGACACAGCTACTGTAAGTTATAGCATAAGTTACAATAGGCAATTTTGAAGTACACATAAATGTTAGAGGAAGTGGCATATATGCATTTCTTTGGGCCTTGTTAATGGAAATGCATATGTAGCTCATTCTTTCTATGAATAAAGTTTTCCTCCATTATTCAATTTCACACATTTATCGAATTTGAAACATTTTATTGTTGTCATTCATGTCTCTGAACTTGCAGTTCATTTTCTATGGCACAACAAGATAGAAAACCAAGGACTTTTACACCACAGATAGGATGTTGCACAGTCAATAGAGTTGTAAAAAATTCTACAACCAGAATATGGAAAAATGTAGCAATGAAAGAGATATTACAATCAAGTATAATCACAAGGATATTACTTGAGTAGTTTCGCATGAAAATAATAACTATGCATGTAATTTCTGATGAGTTCAAGCTTTTTAGCAATTTCAAAGTTTACAATTACTTCAATAATATTCTGCAATGTTTATATGAAACTTCTAAATTCCATAATTATTATATTTCGACCAATAAAAGTTCATATACAATTATTCAAGCGAAATCTCAGCACAAATTCTCCACTGATATTTAAATAGGCCTTTTAATAATAGCCTTATTAATTATCCAAGTCAAATTGACAAGGTTATACATACTTCCAAGTAGAGTGACAAGAATTTTGTATCTGAAGTACTTAGAATATGATACTAGAATTTTAGCTTTATTAGAAGAGATTCCTTTGGGCAGGATGATGACCATGTGATATACACATACAATGGAGTTGCGCCATATTTTCATTTGCTGGTATAAGAATATCTTGACTAGAATTTTCCTGGAAGATGAATAAGTCATAGTAAATCAGTTGCATGGCCCTCACTGTCATCAGATTTAAATCCAACTGATTCCTACATGTGGAATTACTCAAAGTCCTTGGAATTTGCTGCTCTAATACACACTCTTTAGAAATTGCAAAAATGCATTATCAACACATGCAATTAAATTATGAATCAACCAAGACAGTTTAAATGTATGCAACACTTTATGATACAATGTACCAATGGATACACTGTCTCCACACAGTGGAGACATCTTTGAATATCTGCTATTAAACCATGCAATAACTTGAATGGCTGTATCTTAAAAACAAAGAATTTGTGGACCCATGTTTATTAATCGAAGTTCTGAAGTGCAGAATATGCTCATAAAATTTTCACTGGAATTTTCAAATTATCCTATATATGAGAAATTAAGTTAATAGTATTATAAGCTTACTATTAATCATTAAATAAAATTTGTTATAATAAAAAATATATATAACTAATTTGTTCTAAATTAGTGATAGTTTCCCAAGTTTTTTTATTATATAACAATTATTTTTCATAATTATACAATACAATTTATAGATATATTTATGTAATTTTTTGTGCAAAATTACATTACAGTTGTCTTTAGAAAAAATCTTTTTATTAGCATAAAAAATTAACAAGAAAGTGACTAAAAATTATAGAAGTTGATAAAATATGAGTTTGGTAAATGCGCATTGTTAATAATAAAGTGTACTAAAACACCTCAAAAATGTACTAAAATCATCCTTATATACTGAGACATGATTATATTTGTTTAATTACTAAACACTGAAGCATGGAAGAATAGAAATTAAATTTTAACATTACAGTTGTTTATATTGAAAATTAAGATTTCATATTTAAAACGAGTAACAGATTTTTTTATTGTCCCTTGGTATGAGATAATAGATGTGTAATAAATGCTCAACTGCATGGCTAGGGTATGTTTTCTATATGAACATTTTGATTAATCCAAAAAAGCTTGAACTCACTGGCATTGTAAATGATATGATGCAGGACATTTGTCACAACATATAAGTTCTCCTCCATCTCTACAAGCATCGCAGGTATCGCGATTATGACCTCGTCCACGTCTTTTAAAGTATGGATGCTTCTTTTCTTCCTTATCCTTTTTATTTTTTGCTGTTTTTGAATCTTCTGATACGGGCGGGGCAATCAGCGCTTGAATTTGCTGATAATACGAATACCAAGAAACAAAAAACAAATTTATTACAATTAAAGATTTGTACACACAAAACATTTTTCTTATTTTTATTTCGTATCACTTACTGGCATTAAACCTCCGATCATCGGAAAACCATATTCCACAGTCCCCATTTTGAATTTGTAGAAGCCTAAAACTGTTTCTGTTAATTTTTCTCTTACTGCCACATAATATTTGTTTAATTAGGAATAACAGACCTACCCACACTTTCTACTTTTCATATCTAAGTTGGTTATGTTTAAAACGTAGGTAAAGAAGATACTAGATACGTAGTTTTTATCAGAAATACAGTAGGCTGACAGATTAGAAACCCTATAATAAGAGACTATAAGAGACCATAGGAGACTGGACTAGGGATGTTCCACTCAATACATTATTTTGTTAACACGACATTAGTACCATCTAACGAGATATAGGGGTACTATATGACCAATGGCGGGCGGTTCAAAATTCGTATTAATTGCATCCCTTATTTATTAGTATATTATTATATATTTGATAAATTAAAAATGAACAGTTTATTATATATATATATAAAATACAATTTATTTACAATATTACAAATTTACAAATTATTTTTTACAATTACTTTTTTTCGTTTCGCGCTAATAGACATCGCTTGTCGTATTAGCTTACATGTTCTCGCCTTACGCCGAATATATTTACCTATAATTATCGTATTTACATAATTACCACAATTCTTAATAATGTATGTCAAAATATAATCTACTATATAATTAATCAAATCATCCTTATGACTACAAATAAAACTAAATACTACATGTTTCTTAATATACAATTTAATAGTATTTCTAACATCATTTACTATATTAAATTTATACAAAATTATTCTAGTAATATTATAAATTCTATAAATAAACCTTAAAAAATATTCATTAAATATAATACGCCTTACAGAACGTTCATTTTCAGTAGAAGGTTTCAAAATGTGGGTTACACAATAAGAACAGTTAAATTTAACTAAAACTTTTTGGAATATAAAACGACTAATATTGTGCAAGACGGTTCTTGACACAGGTTTATTTAATACACTTCCAAAATGATAAATTGTCATATTAATGCGCGGAATTTCTACTAAAGTAAAAGTTATTATAAAGTTATATATAATTCTTGTAATTGCAGTAATGAGGTATGAAACATCTCTTCACAATTAGCGGATATGGAGTGTTTGCCGGAAATACGCCTAATTAATAGGGCTTTATAAGATTCTTTAAATTGTACGGAATTTACATTATTCGCGCGTATTCTGTGCTGTCGAAGTTGGGAAAAAAAATTTTTCATACAGTCTTGATTCAGGGATCTGGGAAAACAAGATTTAATCCCTTCAGAAAATAAAATTTCCCTCGCATTGATGAAACCTTCTACTGTAACAATAAAATCTTTTAAGGAGGGAGGCAGAGAATGTTCGTCTAAACCTCCCACTTTAAAAAACATGTTCTTTAAGTGGTTATAGAATCTTTCCAAAAGGAGAGATGAGGAGAATTTCTGGTAACTACTCCCCATTAAACCTTTCCAATTTGAGCTTTCAATACATTACCATTTAATGAGTTGAAGATGTCGAAAAATGTCAAAATTTTCACTGTTCCCATAGCCCTCCTTCCTCTTCATTTTGTATCCAGATACACTTTCATCTGAAAAAAAATTATTTGTTCAGTTCAAATATCAATTTAAATTATATTGTAGTTCTAATATTGATACACTTATCACTAGATTGCAAATATTTATGTAATTATAGGAATTATAAGTACAACATATCCATACATAATGTATAAAAATATACAAAATATCCAAAGTAAACTACACAATAATATTTGGAGAATTAAATGAATTCCTATTTAGGTTCCATTTCCTTTCACTATGTTTATAAAAATATACAAAATGCATATGTACAATCACCGACTAGGTATAGAATAGACCTATCATCCAATGCTTTTTTCTGTCCTACGTTTATAGGACTACGTAGCCCTGTTACCATTTTAGTGTCAATACCCGACGTTACCGATAAAGCATGAATTCTGAGTATTATTAGCACAAATGAAGTGTTATATATTCCATTCATATTACGTGTATCTATATGATTTCACGAGAATAAAAATATCCGATGCTTCAGTTTAAGGTTAAGGGATAAATATGACAGTCATGAAACATAAAACGGAAAAGTATATATTTTTTCACTTAATTACAAGACAAGTTATTCTAAATGCATCGTTAATGGACATTTTACTAATGTTACTTTTTACATGTTCTTGTTTTATTCGTTTTTATATCTTGCTTTACATTTGTATATTTGTAACAGATAAATTCAGAATAGATGTAGATACATAAATAATTTATTAAATCTACGTTTTCGCCGGCGGCTTACAATTTTCCTTGCGGGAATGCCTTACCGTAATGAGCCATCTCGTAGCCGCGGGATTCCGGGAATCGGGTGACGTCACGGCGTGCGAGAGAGAGCGATAGAGCGTGCCGCGATATCGGTACTCTCCGTCGGTCCAACGCGCTAGTGACGTTGCGTACCTGGTCGTACCATCTGGTGTTTGGGTCGTTCAAGCCGGCAAAAACAATTCAATTCGAACAAACGTAACAAAAAAACTAGCTGTTGCGTAATAACCTACGTACGCCCAATACATGACGGCGTTAGCTTCCTCACTTTCTCGTGAGCCGTCGCGGAGGGTGGGCGCGCGTCTCGTACTCGTCCTTTCTTTTGTCACTAACCCATTCTGTGTTGCAGGCATTCGACATTTGTTTTGTTTTTTTTTTTTTTTTTAACGTAGGGGAAATGCCTTATGCACACCTCGAAGTCCTGGGGTAGGACTCCGAGGTAGTGTAGGACTCGCACCCACTAAAACCCCTACGATAGCCTTGTCGGGCGGAACCGGTGGTGGCGGGATCTCTGATGAACACACCGCCACCACCGCACCTGTGCTCCTCGAGGATTCACCTCGAGGAGCCCGTTCCGTGGGGGCGATCGAACGCCCCCCAAGGGTGACATATACCCAGGTCTCCACTCCGCCGGTGCCAGAGGACTGCACCCTGACACCGGCCCCACCCCGGGCCGCTTTGGATGCAGTTGGGTACCCCACCCCAACTGCATCAGCGGCCCCGGCAGGCGAATGTGTGCGCGGAGCGGGGAGCCACCAAGGTATAAGCCCCGGCTCCCCGCGGCCCCGAACACACGCGCCCGCCTAACCCCCGGCAGGTCCAGCCTGCCGGACGCGTGCGCGGAGCGAGGAGCTATCGAGGCCTAAGCCCCAGCTCCCCATGTCCGCGCACGCGCTCGCCCCACCCGCGCAGGCCCAGCCTGCGAGGAGAGCGAGGCGGGACGCCTACGGAGGGACCCGCCCCCCGTCGACATCCGCAGAGCCGGCCGTGCGGGTCCCCCGACCACGTCCACGGCTCCGCCTCGCTCTCCTTCTTTCGCGATGAGCGGGATCGCGCCTTTCGCGATCCCGCTCGTCGTCCTCCTTCCGCGAGACAACAGTCTCGCAGAAGGAGGACACCGCTTTCCAGGACCTCTCGCTCCCGACCATGGCTGTGACCACGGCCGGGAGCGAGAGGTCGTGTCCCACCTCCAACCGGAGTGCCCGCCTTTCCCTGGCAAAGGCCGGGCACTCCTCCAACGCGTGCTGCGCGGAGTCTACCTCCGCGCAGCACTGGTGGCACTCGCTTGTCGCCTCGGCTCCTATCCTACACAGGTACTCACCGAAACAACCGTGTCCGGTGAGCACCTGTGTGAGCCGGTAGGATAGCTTGCCGTGCCGGCGGTCCAGCCACCCGTCCAAAACGGGCAAGACCGCGCCGACGGCTCGCTGCCGGGCGGCGCCGCGGTCAACCAGCTGGCGCCGCCACTGCTCGCGAGCGAGCCGTCGAGCCTGGCACTTCATTCGTTCGACCTCGTCGTCCGGCGGGTCCGTCCCATTCCAGCGGAGGCTCTGGAGACGTCGATATACATCGGCGTCAGCCTCCGTCTGGAGATCGAAGGGAACAGACCCCGCCAGGACGACCGCCGCCTCATGGGAGATGGTGCGGTACTCATCACGACCCGGATGGCCATACGGCGCTGCACGCGCCGCAATAGCAGCCGGCAGCGCCGGCCGCCAACCAGGCCATGGGCCCATATGGGATGACCGTATAGGGCCATGGCCCGCACCACCCCCATGTATAGGCGGCGTACCTTCTCATCTGGCCCCCCGAGATTGGGCATAAGACGCCCCAGGAGGGTCGCCACGCCCTGAATCCGGGGGACCAGGCGGTCGAAGTGAACTTCGAAGCGCCAGTGGCTGTCCAGAACGAGGCCCAGATATTTCATCCGGTCCCGGATCTGGACGCAAGCGTCTCCCACTCGGACCCAGGCACTAGGGGCTCGCCGCGACAGAGGCAGGCCATGGAACATGACCGCCTCTGTCTTTTGCGGCGAGATGTGCAACTCCAGTGCCCGGATCCGGGCGACAACGAGTGCCACCCCCACCTCTGCCAACCGGACGGTCCTCATTCATTCCCTCCCGACCGCGATGATCAGAGTGTCGTCTCCATAGCACAGGTTCCATAACTGGAGTCCCAGTACGGACCCCTGGGGCACGCCTCGGTTGACCCTCCGTCTCTGGATCGAGCCCCCTTGGCCGGGGTACTCGATCCGCCTATCGGCCAGGTAGTCCGACAGCACGACGCGGAGATACTGAGGCACTCCGTGTTCACAGAGTGCCTCCCGGATCGTGTTCCAACGGATGGTGTTAAACGCATTGGCGATATCCAAAGATATCGCCAGCGCAACACCACCGCCGGAAACTGCCCGGCCCGCGAGGGAACGGACGTGGTCGATTGCATCGAGCGTCGACCGGCCCTCGCGGAAACCGTACTGGCAGTCTGCCAGACCACCTCCAGCCATGCTCCTCGAGAGGCGGGAAGCGAGCACTCGCTCGAAAAGCTTCCCCGCCTCGTCGAGGAGACATATCGGCCTGTAGGCAGACGGAGAGTCTGCGGGCTTTCCCTGCTTCGGGATGAGGACCATCCGGCCCCGCTTCCAGGGCAGCGGGACCCGCCCCGACTGCATACAGCTGTTGAACAGCTGTATGAGTCGGGTCCCGAGGACGCGTGAGGCCAAACACAGCGCCCGGCCTGGGATGCCGTCCGGCCCCGGAGCCTTAGTGGTCCCGATGCGCGCGACGGCATCCGCGAGCTCCTCTCGCGTGACCCCCAGCTCGGCGGATCAGGTGTTCGGGTCCGCCGGCAGCCCAAGCGGTCGCGAGCCCTCCTCCGGATCAACCGGAAAGAGGGTCTC